TAATTAGCTTATGGACCTCAGAATATTTCATTTCCTGCTTGAATAAGTTCTACTGGAATTTGATTACTACCTGGTGATTTATACCTTTTCAGTTTTGCAACAGCAATTTCAAACTGAAAAAGGCTTGGCTCAGCTGTATGTACATGTATTTCTGTCTGTGTAACAGCACTGACCATATGTACATTCAATAACTGAGAGCAATAGTTCTTCCACCTATTCAAAATGTTGTGGTAATCTGCAAGCAGATCACCATTCTCAACCTTCACTAAGTTACTTCTAGGTTGGTGACCCCTCTTAAAGTCATTTATTCCTCTATACAGGTCTATATAATATTCTTGTTCTTGCTGTCTGCTGCAAACTCATCAATTTTGTCTTTCAGATATTCCCTCTTTTTGTTCCTGAAATGCCTGCTGGTTTCATGTCTTATATTGTTTAGATTATCCCTATTTAACTTGCTTGGATCCCGTAACCACTGCAATTTGGCTTGTTTGCTTTGGTCTAATAATTTTGAACATTCTTCATTGAATCATGGCTTATGCTTCTTCTGTTCATAATAACCTAGACTCTCATTGGTTGAAATTTTGATACTCTAACGGTTTCTCAAACTCTATTAATATCCACTTCAGCATCTAAATTCTCCAAAGCTGTGAACCCATTTGAAATTTCATCATGATACTGCTCTTTACCCTTTACCTTGTTTAATTTCTTGAGAAGAACCTCTTCATATGAAATCTGTGCATCTCTCCCTAACTTTTGCCACCATCAGATATTGGTCAGTATAACAATCTGCTGTCCTGAACGATCGGACATAAAGTATGCTTGAATGATGTTGCCCATCTATCAAAATATTGCCAATTTGATTTTCTTTCAATCAGGAGTTGTCCGCATAAATTTCTGTTAACAATGTGGGATCACTGTACTACTTTTGAAAGATTTTTGGATGTGGTGAAGTTTACTACTCTCATTATCATTACTAATTTTGTGTAAACTCTCATTCCCAACTGTTGGTTTGAAAATGTCTTCCCTACCATTGAACTCTCCTAACAAGCGTTTTCATATGGTATTTAGGGAATTTATGAAATACGCATTCTGGTTCCTTACAGAAGCTGTCCTTCATGTCATCAATTTTATCCTCTATTGGGGCATGAACAATATCACACCAGAGACCTCTTAGTATTATGTATGACATCCTAACACTAACAAACTCTACCCCCTTAACTGCTGATACGATTCTCTTATGTATGAGAAAACATGTACCTGATTCATGATTCTCATTCCCCTTTCAACAGAAAAATGTATATTTGCGTGCTGGTTTGGTACCACCTCTGTTCCATCTGACCTCCTGTACTCCCACTAAATCTAACTTGTATTTTAAAAGTTCTTTTGCAACTGTCATGAGAGAACCTGCCCTATATAGACTTCTTACATTCCAAGTACCAAATCTCATGTCCATTTTCTTAGCTTAGGTGATTTATCCATAGAATCCACCCAAGTCCAAAATCATTTGTGAAGTTTTGTAACAAGCTTACTTCTTTTTATGGTGAGGAGTTGTTACATTGATGCCCAACCCCCAAGCTGGAGGACCACCCCTTGTTAGCTGTCCATGACTGCTTATTCAATATCTTTGTAGCTACCCTCTATATCTGGAGCCCATCTCCTCCGCCTGTAACCTGAGGACGCACCTAATATGGCAATTATACCACGTAAACATAACAATACAAGCCATGGACATGAAGAACTAGACTAAACCAAAAAAATAAAATGAAATTATAAAGGATAAAACAACTCCATCCAGTGTGACTGTTGAAGTTTTTATTAATTCAATTCTTAACACAGGACGATATCAAAGGTAGGACGAAGCAACAAACTCCTTAAAAAAAATATATATATATAAATTGGGTTGCTGAAATAATACAATACCCATAATATATTTGCAGAACTGCCTTTTCAAGAAAGACAGGCAGCACAAGTTCGACCCACGTCAAGAAAGGTGATAAGAGAAGGGACACAAACCTATTTGGTTTATAAATTTTAACTTAACAAAAGTTTTAAAAAACTTTAATATACGAAGACAACCGCTGTAGTTGTGAAAACTTTGGATTTTGTATATATTGTGCATTACAAATATTGTATGTGTATATATTTTAACATTCAGAACACCCTTTGTAGTAGTGGTTTCCAAAGAGTATCGATGTCCCTCTGATGATGGTCTGTAGGGGCCGAAACATGTAAAAGGGAGTTAAGAACTGAAGTAGTAAAAACTTCAACAGTCACACTGGACGGAGTTGTTTTATTCTTTATAATATTGTTAGTGTGACAGATCAAAATGAAACAAATCAAATTCAAAAAAAGAAACTTTAGAATAGGTCACTGTACTGAGTTTGACTAAAATCAGTTAAGCAATTTAGACATTGGTACCTATAGATGCAACCAGTATGTGGTTTCCAGAGTCCTTTTTTGAATTGTACCTATAAAGTGATGTTTAATATTGTTCTGTTAACCCACTTTCTGGGTGACTTGGACAGCATGATAGAAAAGTATAATTTGTGTGTATCAAATGTATGAGAATATATTCTTTTGAATGAAAAGATTATAGTTCACTCTGGATGGCAGGGAAAATATTTGAGGCCCATGTAATAAGATTTAAAATGGACTTTTCCACTGACTGCACTATTATTATGCAACTTTACAGAAATGGCCGCTGCATTAAGAAACCAGCTGTATGTGATGGGACTGATGACTGTGGAGACAACACAGATGAAAAGAACTGTCCACGTAATCGGAGACAGCATTTAACTTAATGGAGTCCAGTAATTTGCTGCTGAAACTGAATAACTGAAAGTATTACAGAAAATGGCTGGGATTACCAGAAATGAGTGCCAGGAGCGTTCCGCTCTCCTGCCTGTCTCTCTCTTAATTTTCACACTTAGTTACCTCATTTACTTTCTTTATTTCCAGACTGTCATTTTGGACAATTATTTCTTTGTGTTGAAAGTTCACTACAGTGGATTGAAGTATAATGAAACAGAGGAAAACAAGTATTTTCTTGAAGAAAGCAGTCTTCTGGGATTTGGCACCATGTATATGTGGTGTTAACTGACGTTTCAGAGGAATGTATCGCCTCTGAAACGTCGGTTAACACCACATATACACGGTGCCAAATCTCAGAAGACTGCTTTCTTCATAGTCACCGCCGTGAAAGCCTCAAATCTTACAAAGTATTTTCTTATTATTTAAAATGTAATAATTTTATTCATAGTATAGTCTAATTGTTGTAATTCATGGAGTACATTTATATTTTACCCTTCAAAGAAGGAAAATGTCACACTGCTTAAATATATACCTGTTATTGCTGTATCCATTAAAAATGTATATTTTAAAGTACAGAGTGTATTTTTGTGGTGAATGTTTGTGTTACATTTCAAAATGATGTATTCATTGTGATTTGTGCACCCAGTCCCCAACATTACATAAAGTGTATGCATTAATAATTAAGATTTATTTGAAATTTTATTAATGTATTTTGTTCAGGAACTGTCATTTTCACATAACACTGAAGCTGCAACATAATTACTAACCTACTGGAGAAATTTCTAAGTATCATATGGGATTAGGCATTTTAATGAACTAGACATCTGTTATTAACACCTCTTAGGTTTATTACATCTGAAAAACATGTTATGTAACAATGAAATTTTTGATCATCCATGTGACATGCTTTTTCTTACTCTGCTTCACAAATGTAGCCACAAAATGTAAAAAGAGAGATATTTAGTTCTGTTGAATTCTGCATAGTTTTCAGTACTCTGAGAGCAAACAGTCTGATAGACAAAGCATACGGCCAGCAGTGCCTGCAGAGTTGCCATGCTTTGTCCGGTCTGCCCAAGATAGTATTTTCAGATTTATTAACATTCAAGTGATTGTGCTGCAGTGTTGTTTATGTTGGTCCAATAATATTCTTCTTTCTTTCAACATTTCAACTTTGGTGTGCATCATGTAATTTACAATAACGCAAGTACATATGACAGTATATGTGAATGAACAATTAAATCTAATTATCATGGTTGCATTTTTAGTGTCATGAGCTGAAGCTCTGTAGCACAAACATGTTGCATGGTTGATCTTGTTCACCTCCTGTGGCCTTATCATGAAGCACGACTTGTACAGCAAAGTGTGATCTTAGTGAACTTCCATTCATACCTATGTCATTTTGTCAAATTCTGTTATTTTATCTTTGAGTACAGTTCACCCTGAAATGTTTCACCCAGTATAAATATATTTCTTTTTGAACAGCTTTTATTGAAAATTTCTGTTAAGAATCATTAAAATTCAAGCCCAAAATTATGCTTGCATTATTACTGACCTGCCATGTTTGCTTCTTTACCTTAGGACCTGAGTGTTTTAAAGTATCATTAAATGTTCACTGGTGTGTAACAACACAGAAAACTGAAATATTGTCATGTGTTAGGGGTCAGACATGGGGTTTGGACTGATAATTGGATTTACTGAACTTTTATAACTTCTAACTACAAGTAATTATAATGCCCTCACTAGGCTACACAATTTACATCTCATTACAGCACATAAATATTCACTGACCATAAAATTACAAAAGAAATATCTCACCATATGATTTCAGGTTCTCACAGTGCTAGTTATGAAGAGCACTATCTTCTGGGATGTAATGCCATGTATTCTGTTGAAAGTCAATCGACGTTTGGGAGGAACATATTGCCTCCATCTTCAGGGTCAAATAAGCAAAGTAAGATACCAGCATGAAATCAGAAGCCTGCCTCCTGCTCAGCTTATTTGACCCTAAAGATGGAGGCGATATCTTCCTCTGAAAAGTGGGTTGACTTTCAATGGACTATGTGATGTTATATCCAAGCTGATTTATTTCCACTTTATTTCATTATAATTATTTACAGTCATTGGTGAACGCTACAATGCAAGCCAGCGGCTTCTGGCACGTGTAGTGCAGCGCTGAGTTTCAGCACGTATTTTGAACTGTTGTTTTTCATGTACAGTAATTATTTTGGTATGAAATTTCAGGTTATCATTTCGTATATTTGTTGTCCCACTTTGAACTTTTTGCGGTAGTTGTAATACATTTGAAAGCTTTGAAAAAAATTTTCTACTTCAACACTTATTACCATATAAATCTAATTCTAATGAACTAAATATGTTAGATCGATAATGTGTGCGTTCCTGCATGCTGATCGAATGAAAAGTCGATTCTCTTGAGGCATATTCTGACGAGTGCTGCTTCTAGATTGGAGAATCTAAGACTTTGAGACGTGATGTTGACTCTAAGAAGTGTGTTATGACAACAGTTCACAAAATGAATGATATTGAAATTCCCCTTTCTTCTATAAATACACATCATGCAGTGAGGTTTTAGCAGTCAAGGGGCAACCTGTGAAGGATATATTTACTTCAAACTGAATTAGAAAAAAGTTTTACCAGATTCGGAATTTGAGAGTGAAAATGGATGTATGTGGTAAATGACAGAATCGAAAAAAGCACAAATGTCCACTGGGCGAATATGCAAAAATAGAAGGGGCAAAAAGATTTCCGAATGTGATATGTAGGAATAACACAAAGAAAAGAACAGATCAATTGTCAATCAGGATTCAGTTAATTGAGGGCCTCTGAAAAAATGCTAATGCTGTAGAACACAAAGTGCTGGGTTGACAATCGTCATACAAACAGTGCCCTGTCTAAGAGAAATAACTTTTATAACCAAGATTGTACCAACAGCAAAGAACTCAAGACCAGAGAAACAACATGTTGTGTCAAAAACTGTGTACTGGTGTGACGCATGTTTTCACAATACACCCAGCTGAATTTCTAAGATGATACGATACTATAATTCCTAATTTTTATAGGCTTACTGTGCCAAAAAATAATTTTAAAGCAGTGCATATCAATACAACAATTCTATACACATTTCTGAATGTATTGTGAAAATTAAAAAACAAACACCCAGTTTTTCCAAAATTTATTACACTTTAAGTGAAATGTTGCATTTGCTGTTTTAAATGTTTAAATATTCTCTATCCCAAGGAGTGAGTAGGAATTAAATGTCCTGTGCCGTTGAAGGGTTGAGATATTCAAGTAACATCACCACTTCCTGTCACTTTCAATGTAAACCTCAACCACTAGTGCCTACAATTTCATCTCCGTCTTTCATATCGACATCAACCACCACTTCCTGAGATCCCTGAGATTTTGGCGTTTTCTTCAGTTTGCTTCTAAACTTCTTAAACTTCCCATCCTTTGACCACATACATTTCATTGTAATTTTGAACTCTGCCATTTCATGTCCAAGCAATTTCTGTAAGGATTACAGAGCAACATTAAAATGTGAAGTATGAAATTCACTGCGTACTGACTTCATGACATTTACATTAATCACAGCAGGAGAGAAGTAATGTTCCTACACAGAAAATGAACTGCGTTAGGCACAATGAAACTGAAACCAATGTAATGTGTTTATCTTACCAGTATCCTGGCCTGCTCTGGTTTAAGTGCTTTATCAGCCTTGCAGACAGTAAATTCTGAAAGCAGTGTAACCACACCTCTCTGCAGACTTGTGGGCATTCCGAGCTGACGAAGATGTGGTTCTATAGAATGAGGGAATTGCAGAAGGGGGCCAGGTGGTAGCGTCACTGTTTCCGTAGCAAGATTTCCAGCTCTGGCAAAGTCATTTTCACTGTAGTTATTAAACCAGCTAAAACATGAACCAATTTAAGAATGTCAAATATTGTTCAATCTGATGGTCCTGCAGTGATGGCTATCCTCTTGGATGTAATACTGTGTTACAGCTTGTGGAAGTCCATTTCAGAGGGACTACTACGTCCACCTTTGAGGCTGAAGAGTACACCACCAAGCAAGAATCAGGCAGAAAACTGTGCAAACTGCATGTAGGATATAAGGTACCCAGAGAGAGAGAGAGAGGATGGAAGCAGACCCATTCCCTGTACACAGCTCAGAACAAACCAACAGGAGACATGAATAAAGTAAACCATTTGCCCTGAAAAGGAACATTTAGTTATTTGGATATGTGGGAAGAAGAGGGGCAATAGTCATTTGGAAGGGGGTGAGGGTATTGTAAGCAAGTGGCAGGGGATAAGAATAGCAACTGCCCAGTGTTCATATTACAAAGCATAATTTTAGAGTTTGCTGCTATATACTCTTTACACACAGGGCTTTAAAAGAATGCATTATGAATCTGCAGCCTCTCTGCATGTGAATATCAAAAGCTCAGCATCAGTTCACTACACTACCGTAGAAGCTACAGTGAAAGATTTTTCCCTACATGCAGCACTGACTCCCATGTCAGTAACTACTTACACAGAACTTCAAAACTGATCACTGTGAACAGCCAACACAGACTTACCACATGCTAGAAGTGATCCTCTTCTGCTTTTCCATGCCTGAACAAGTCTTCCAACACTTTCTGTTCATTCTCAGTCAGTTTAGTCTCTTGGTACTTACGTAGATCATGAACTTTACATATGTGGTTTTAAAGTGTATTACAAATTGCTTTACTGAGGTTACGTACTTCAAACAAGGTTTGCTTTCATACACAACAAATGCTGCTTGTGCACAGAAATGTTCTCAATAAAGTTTATGCTTAACAGCTTTCCATAGGCTTTATACTAGTGTGCATTCCCAGCAAGTACAAGCAGTTGTAGGAGAATGACATGTGCATTTCTATGTGTAGTCTACTGCTGACATGGGAGCCTGGTATCTCAACATACACAATACTAAAAAGCACAACAGTCTAAAATATTACACTCTGGAAGAAATTCAGACATATAGTAATCAAAAGTGCAATACACCATCATTACAAACCTTCAGAATTGACTCAAAAGTAAAAATTCCCCAGATCATGTCTTCTAGAAAGTATACTTTCAATTTAAAATTTGTGGTTCAATATAATTGCCACATAATCTCACACTTATTAATAACAATTCAATACTTACTCAAGAACTTCGTCACGTTTCTTATTTGTGAAGAGTAAACCACACTGACCAACCAGATGCTTTGTCAATTTATGCAGTTTATTCTGACCTTCTGTTTCCTTTGTCTTACCAAGACCTAGGGCCATAACTTTGTTTTTACCAAAGAAAAATCTGCAAAGAAATTGAACCATAAGTTAACTAAAAAGTTCACGTTTCACCAAATATAACTAACTGTACTGAGAAGATCACAGCCACTCAGATGGACAAGAATGGCCCACCTTCATGGAACTCAAAGCCACATTATTAGCCACAAGAATCTGTGACTGGAACCCATCCTGAGAGAACTGAACCCAGTGTTCACCCACATATCTCACTTATTAAGTACTATTTCGGGTATTATCATTCTGCTATGAATATGTGCCCAAAAAGTATTTTCCATTCAGCTGTCTAATTAAAGTTCACACAAATTATCATATCTCCATACAGCATACATGTCACGCCCATTTTATCTTCCACAATTTGATCACCCTAATATTATTTAGTACAGCTATCCCTGTAACAGGCTGTGACAGCCCATAGGGCTATGAGATGTTGAGGCTCTCACGTTTTCTCTAGACCATCGGTTCATATATGGCAGTAAACTTGTCAGCCTTACGCACCGGGCACCCTTTACCCCACAGGAATATTTCTGGTACTCATTTCTGTTAGAGGCCGAGTCGACACCAGGGCCAGTGATTGGAAGGATTAGATAAATTGAAAAGAAAAAAAACCTCATCCAGACTCGAACCCGAGACCTTATTGCTTGTAGCATAGTACCTCAACCAACCACAATACCGCGTGCCCCAATATTATTTAGTGAATACAAATTATGAAGCTCATGGTCCAATTTTTGACTGCATCATACTATTTCCTGCAACTTGGTTTCAAGTATTCGCTTAGTACCCTGCAACCAAATTTACACTCCAAAACAGTCACAGGGATCTGTAACTGAGATAAAACATAAACAATTTGAAATGCATACCTACTATGTTTCCATTCAGTACGGAGGTCTTTCAATTTTGAGTTCCTCATGTTCTGAACAGAAAATACAAAGATTCTCCTGTAGTCTTCTACGCATTTTCGAATTTCATCAACTAACTGTTGTTTAAAAACCAGACCTTTCTTCTTTGTTTTTGTTAATGATACTGAAATAAAACAATATCAATTAACGGCAATATTACAGTAAGCAGAGGTTAAGTGTACCCCAGTTAACATTATAATGACAAATATTTTGCATACGTCTTACATTACATACTTTTCTTGTCACGCTTTGACTTCGGCATCGAGTTTAATTTAACGCTTTACAATATTCTTCGTGTTTTAATTTAATCATATACACCGCACCACATGCAAGACCCGAAAGACAGCCAGCACGATCCAGCATTCCCCAGACCACGGATCACTAGGCTCAGGTAAACTAATCCGTTCATCATAATTCTATCATGTACAGAATGTCCAGCACTAAAAATAACCTATGACGGCCGTGGTCTCATACAAAGAAAAGAGAGATACGAGTACAAGTGATAGCAGGAAATAACGGGAGATATCCTTGGAACGCTCCTCAATCACAGTCCTCACAAAATATAGGGGAATTTCTTTGGAATCCTCCCGTCATAGTCCTCACAGGGTTGCTAACACATTTGTGTGACAAACCACTCGCACACCCTCATAAAATCGTTCGAAATGTGTGATTGTGATTTCTGGTGAGAAAGCTTGTTGAAATGCAATTGGGAATTTTATTTTCACGTGTTTACAACTGCATTTTTATAACTGAATTTAGCACCCACCCGGTTCTAAATATACACCCATTCCTTAATCTTCCGTGGGTCATATTAACCTGACGTCATTGATCGATCAGTACTGTTTTCTGAACGTATCTGGCATTAGACATGTTGAAACCCACTTACATATTCAGTTATTCAATGATTCGTCTCATCATTAAGTATAAGTTAAACAGAAATTTAAATTTCATTTAATTTTTATAACGAATCATTTATATGTAATGGAATTATTTTGCAAATATTATTGTTTCTGAAAATGTACTGACTAGTTTAGTACATCTAATTCCGCTAGTGTAGCCCCCTTTTTCGAGGCGAAGATTCTGTCGGGGATTGGGAGAGTAATATAGTGTGTAGATAATTGTGACCGTAGTTCCAAGGGCTTAGTTCCTACAAGGTTATTTTTATAAATCGTAAGTAAAAGACAGAAATTCATGATAGAATAATTGTATTTATTTCATGTAATTGGAAATGATCGAGTGGCTGTGAAAAAGAAAACTGGGCAATGGTCGTTTTTAGTGTGACGCATTGAAGGAGTGCCCTCTGCAGAATCGCCATTTTGTCAAATTACCGGCTGAGAAATTGCATCAGTTTGTATTTGCGTGTTAAATGCGGTTTAGTTTCTATATTCACGACAAATGGCAAGCCTCATAGAATCGTGTAGGTCGTAGGGAAGCAGTTTCGCTTGGAGTGTGTGTTTTGTATTCTATTTCACGTGATGTTGGTCGACCTTCGTTTGTTTACGAGTCTTTGATCCTTGCTGGGAGAGGTTAAAAATTAACCAAATTTCCCCGTATTCCAATATGTTAAGGAAAATATTAGGCACTTGAGTTTTTAATATACAGTAGATTTTGGCCTACACGAAGATATTACTTAAAGTGTAAATATTGATGCTGGTTTTGGTACTGTTTTTCTTAATTTTTTGTACTGTTAGTATTGATCTTCAGGTTAACGTTGATGTCTCATAAGTTGTGGCCTTAATTAGAATGGGATAACTGTCGAGTTATGTATAATTGTATATTAGTTGCTTGTATTGGAACGGAAGTGATCCAAAACTCGTAAGGGTATGGCCAATACCCTTACCTTACGAATTTCCACAACCTGGTTTTTTAACTTGTAGGGATATATATGGAAAATAAATGGACAATGGACAATACGTAACTAATCTTTTGCTGTAGTTTCATGATAATTGTTGATAGGAATGAAAAGAATCTTGGATACAAACTTGTATTACACAATGAAGGTTTGAATGTTTGTAGCTATGGGGGAAGTATCCTATTTGCATGTTGATGTATTTGGTTACATTCTGGGATGAAGTACAGGGTTATTTAAAAAGAATGAACCGATTTTATTATGCAATATTGTATTAAAGGAAAATAATACAAAACTCCAGCCAAGTCACAAGTATTCTACTCACAATCAACTTCTTACAAGTGTTCAATGTGGCCGCCACCTGCAGCACGGGCAACATCAATGCAATAAGAGAATTCGTCCCAGGCGCATATTAGCATATCATGATGCACTGAGTTAATCGCTGTTGTTATTCGATGTTTAAGGTCATCGAGGTTAGTAGGTAGCGGTGGAACATAAACGTGATCTTTTACATATCCCCACAAGAAGAAATCACACGCGGTGAGGTCTGGGGATCTCACAGGCCAAGCACAAAGAGCAAGGTCTTTGGCCCCCTTCTGACCAATCCATCGCTTGGGCACTTTTTCGTTTAAAAAAGCTCAGGAGCCAATGGGGCGGTGATCCATCTTGTTGAAAAATTAAGCCATGCGAATCTGCTTGCAGTGAAGTTAAGAGCCAGTTTTGGAGCATATCGAGATAGGTTTCTCCTGTAATGGTGTTTCCTTCAAAGAAAAAGGGACCATAAACCTTGTCCTGAGACACAGCACAGAAGACGTTCACCTTAGGGTAATGTCTTTCGTGCTCAACTGTTTCATGTGGGTGCTCTGTTCCCCGAAAACCCACAGTGTGACGATTGACTGTACCGCTCAAGTGAAAGTTGCTTCATCACCAAAAATTAAACGTGAAATGAAGGTTTCGTCTTCCATCATCTCCAGCATCGAATTGCAAAATTCCATCCGCTTCCTTTTGTCATCATTAGTAAGTGGCTGAACGAGCTGCAGTCTGTGTGGTTTCAAATGTAGACGTACTGTTAGCACATGCCAGACAGTGGATTGAGGGATCGCAAGCTCACGGCTAGCTCGATTTGTTGACTTCCGCAGGCTCCTCTCAAACGCAGCATGGATTCTCACCACTTGTTCCTCCGAGACTCGCAGTTGTCCTGGACTTTTTCCTTTACACAGACACCCACTCTCTTGAAACTGTCGAAACCACCGTCGAATGTTCTTAGGACAGGGTAGATCAATGCCGAATCACCTTCAAAAAGCACGCTGCACCGTGAAAACCGAATTTGTTTTCGCGAACTCAAGAACGCAGAACGCCTTTTGCTGAGGACTCGCCATTCCGAAGGTAAACGAACAACTGAACGTTGACAGAAGAATGACATGACTTCAGTGCCCCTGTGGCAGCCATTCAACTCCTCTTTCAAATGGTCACTGACTCGTTCCATGACGATGCTTGAGAACTGAAGCAATGCGTCATGAAATCGGTTCATTGTTTTTCAATAACCCTGTATATTTGCAGTTCATGGAGAACTTGAACTGTGCTGTGTGAAGTAGGTATTGTCAGCAGCAGACTGAGTGTTTGCTGCTTCTGTGACAAATTCTCTGTGGAGAACTTGAACTGTGCTGTGTGAAGTAGGTATTGTCAGCAGCAGACTGAGTGTTTGCAGCTTCTGTGACAAATTCTCAAGTTGAAATGCAATACTTAAAGGCAAGTGCATGCTATGTGCTTCTTGTTGATCCCTGCAGGGATGAAACAGGCCATGATAGATTCAGAATTACACAAATTATTTTTTGTTTGTATGTACAAAAGTTACGAGGTCAGTATTATAATATTGTTAGTTAATTTTCACTTGTAAGATCTAATAGTTGAACCGAAACAGATGGCAGTTGGCTTGAGCATGTGAGTTAATGATTCATAGGTGATCCTGACCCATAACAGGATATTGCGAATAGGATAGGATGTGGTAACTGATGGTAATAACATATTTAAGCCATAACTATTTGTGTGTGATCAAGTCATCTGTTACGTAGAAAGTTTGAAGGCTTGGTGACTGTGTCTGGCTGAGGAGAAATGGTGATTATTGAGTGGGTGGAAGGTTAATGTGAAGTTGTGTGCTGCTTCTTGCACATTGTGCGTCTTTCTTTTTCTTATACAGGGTGTCCCAGGAGGAATGGACCAAACTTTGGGAGGGTGTTCCTTATGTTAAAGTATGCCGATATAACCCAAAACACCTATGTCCAAAGTTGAACGGTTACGGAGATAATGGCCCGAGAAAAGTGTGGTCTTCTAGCGGGTCCACGGATTATACCTATCAGCTGAGAGGCCTTATCTTTGTTTGTCCTTGAGTGCCGTGATTCACCCTAGCCGTGCTTATGTAGTTGGCTTTATCAGAACGCGCAGTCAGCACGTTATGTCAGCGCTTGCCATTCATGTGTCATGTATAGTGCTTGGAAACCCTAAGGACAATTATGACATGGCGAGCGAGTATTTTGTACTTCAATTTTATGGCTTTCTGTCACTCACAAGTTAGTTTTATGTTACGTACATTATTAACATTACAGAATCCACATATTCCTGCCAGTTTTAATATGTATTTTGTAATCAACAAGTGTGCAACGCCGGTCAAAGTTTGACGCTTCTCTGGCCATTATCTCCGTAACCGTTCAACTTTGGACATAGGTGTTTTGGGTTATATCGGCATACTTTAACATAAGGAACACCCTCCCGAAGTTTGGTCCATTCCTCCTGGGACACCCTGTATACATCTTAATGTAGATATGAAAGTACAGGTTTACATGTATGTTTGTGTGCAAAAGTGACAAAGTCTGGTGAAATGGCTCAGAGGTTGCCCTCTTTCTTTTTTAAGATATATATCCAGTTTTTACTGTAACAGGAGATAAAAGTTAGGTAAGAATTCAAAATGGGCAGCTGGAAGAACCTTCCTGTGTCATATTTCCACAATTATGCTAATAGCTGCCTCTTTGTACAGATGTCATGGAACCAGAAAAATGTTGAACCTTTGTATGTACTGAGGTAGCACAGAGGATCCTGCCAGTGGCAAACACATAAGAATAACAGGAATTAAGTTTTTGTATAGAAAGAAGACATAATGGAAGTACAGTAGAAGATGCGATACATCGTAGATGGATGATGGATAATGTCTAGAAAGTAATACAAACTCAGGACTTCATTGGTTATAAACCAGGGCCCAGATTCTGATGACATGTCATCTTTTTTTCCTTCTATCCTATGCGATGCTCTTAAAGATATATATATGAGCTGCTGGTTACAGAAATGTAAATTTTACATGTAATTTTTGTCATTTTTTGACATTTTTAGGTTTAAGCTCATTTTTTCATTTTTGGTAAATTTTTGGACTTTTAAGGGTATTTCTTGTCATTTTTGGCCATTTTAGGGAATTTTTCTTCATATGTTTTCTGAAACGTGAATAACATGGAAGTGAAGTGTTCTTTCTTTTCTCCTTTAGGTCATTTTTCAGGATTTTTTTGGTCATTTTATAGGTCATTTTTTTAATATTTTCAGGTCATCAAAATCTGGGCCCTGCATATTACATTTTTGGGTCATATTTTAGGTCAT